TGTGAAGTGCCTTCAGGCCTGGTCATTCCTAGCGTCTATCGGAAAAATGGCTCTCAAGTACCTTTTCCCCCCCCTCTATTTTCTTAATGATTGGTTTGGTTTTGTTATTCAAAGTTGAAATTTTGTCTAGCGTTTAGAGTTAGAAGATTTTTTTTTTTTGTTATGACATTGCATAGATCAGTGTTGAGAATTATTTAACAATTTTTGAGATTTTCACATTGTAGCTGATTCTGAAACGTTGGCACAGTTTCAAATTTAGTTTTCCCTCTTTTTGGAAAAAGAAGAAACTTTGAAGGACGAATTTACAATACTAACCTGTATCGTTTGACATTGTTTTGGTTTCCAAATGAAGAACAAAGTCGCCTTTTTTTTTTATTTATTTATTGGGATAAATAATAAGAACAAATTTTATTTGGGTCAGTTGGGTTTTTTTGTTTGTTTCCTCGGGTCCTAGATGATGTAAAAACTTGAGATTTGAATTTTTTTTCCCTTACCCTTTTGATAACAACTAAATGGAATCTAGATGGAAAATGAACAATAACACAGCATTAGGGATTTGGTGTCATGGTGGCTGTTCATTGTAGTAACCTTCAATTTGTTGAATCTGTCTGTCTTTGTTCAATGTCTAGATTAAGTTTTGTTTCTAGAAGTCAAAAAAGATTATAGACAAATATAAATGCCCAAGTGATGTTGTGTTCTGTTCAGTTATCTGCTCATAATATCAAGTATCAATTCTGGGTTTTTCAATTCTTTTTGTTGTTGTTGTTGTTGTTGTTGTTGTTGTTGTTGTTGTTGTTGTTGTTGTTGTTGTTGTTGTTGTTGTTGTTGTTGTTGTTGTTGTTGTTGTTGTTGTTGTTGTTGTTGTTGTTGTTGTTGTTGTTGTTGTTGTTGTTGTTGTTGTTGTTGTTGTTGTTGTTGTTGTTGTTGTTGTTGTTGTTGTTGTTGTTGTTGTTGTTGTTGTTGTTGTTGTTGTTGTTGTTGTTGTTGTTGTTGTTGTTGTTGTTGTTGTTGTTGTTGTTGTTGTTGTTGTTGTTGTTGTTGTTGTTGTTGTTGTTGTTGTTGTTGTTGTTGTTGTTGTTGTTGTTGTTGTTGTTGTTGTTGTTGTTGTTGTTGTTGTTGTTGTTGTTGTTGTTGTTGTTGTTGTTGTTGTTGTTGTTGTTGTTGTTGTTGTTGTTGTTGTTGTTGTTGTTGTTGTTGTTGTTGTTGTTGTTGTTGTTGTTGTTGTTGTTGTTGTTGTTGTTGTTGTTGTTGTTGTTGTTGTTGTTGTTGTTGTTGTTGTTGTTGTTGTTGTTGTTGTTGTTGTTGTTGTTGTTGTTGTTGTTGTTGTTGTTGTTGTTGTTGTTGTTGTTGTTGTTGTTGTTGTTGTTGTTGTTGTTGTTGTTGTTGTTGTTGTTGTTGTTGTTGTTGTTGTTGTTGTTGTTGTTGTTGTTGTTGTTGTTGTTGTTGTTGTTGTTGTTGTTGTTGTTGTTGTTGTTGTTGTTGTTGTTGTTGTTGTTGTTGTTGTTGTTGTTGTTGTTGTTGTTGTTGTTGTTGTTGTTGTTGTTGTTGTTGTTGTTGTTGTTGTTGTTGTTGTTGTTGTTGTTGTTGTTGTTGTTGTTGTTGTTGTTGTTGTTGTTGTTGTTGTTGTTGTTGTTGTTGTTGTTGTTGTTGTTGTTGTTGTTGTTGTTGTTGTTGTTGTTGTTGTGTTCCTCAATTTTTATGTAGCTTTCAGCTTAATGTATTGGGCTTTTTGACATAGTGATGGTACAGTTAACAATGATTTAATATTTCTGTTATTTTTCTTGGTTTGTATGACTTCAATTTCTGGTTTTCTGCTTGAAAGCTAGGTAAAAACTGTGCATTGCTGCCAATAAAATAGTGCACACAAGACCCATATTGTTAATGAGCCTTCGCTGGACAATTGTTTTATATCGGCGGTGGGTTTTGTCAAATTCCATCCTTGAACCTGTTTTCATTTGGTAATTTTGCTTATTTATCTCACTGTGTTCGACAGAGTTATGATTCGACAACTCACTTTGAGTCAACAGTCATGGATGTTCTCAATATGTGTACCATGATTACTGGAAAGGTATGAACTAATATTTTTCATAGCAATGAGTTCCTTGCTCATCAGATTTGTCACCCTTGGTTCAAGTGTTTGTTATGAGCATATTATGTCTTCATTATGCTTTTATCCATCTATTTTGTTATGCTGTTATCCATCTATTTTGTTATGCTGTTAGTGTATTTTGATTTGGAGTAATTTATATGTTGGTAAATCATGATTATCGCTTTAAAAAGGTTAAAAACCTCGATAAGGAATTTATTTGATGTTGGTGTTCACTTGGAGTAATTGCTGCCTCTTTTCTTGCTCCTCCTCCGCCTTTCATTATGCTTTTATCCATCTATTTTGTTATGCTGTTATTGTATTTTGATTTGGAGTAATTTATATGTTGGTAAATCATGATTATCGCTTTAAAAAGGTTAAAAACCTCGATAAGGAATTTATTTGATGTTGGTGTTCACTTGGAGTAATTGCTGCCTCATTTCTTGCTCCTCCTCCACCTTCGCCGTTCTTCATTGCACCATCCCCCCCTTCTGTGCCCAAACTGATGGATCTGTCGCATGTGAATCGTCAAATCGGTGTGATTTGGGTTTGATTGGTGTGATTAGGAGGAGGAGGAGGAGGAGGAGAGAGAGACACAGCGTCTGGGTCTGGGTACATGAGTGCTGTTTTTCAACTCTTTGATTTCCATCAGTTTCAGTTTGCATTGCACCAACAAGTACCCCCCTTTTAACCCTGATCTTGAAGCTTTTCTTCCTAAAGAACCCACTCTCCTCGAAGGTAAGTCTCTCTCTCTCTCTCTCTCTCTCTCTCAGAGCAAGAAAAATAAGATTTGAGTTATGGGTATTGTGCAAATGCAGGGGTAGAGGCACCAAGGAACAGCTTGGAGATGGATCAGGATGAGCATTTCCAGGAAGTTGCCTCATTTCCATCAACAATGAAAGAGGAAGAAACTTTAAATATTCCAGTAACATATTTGTTGTTGTGTGTTAGTTACTATCATTTCTCTTTTTCAAAATTTTTATAATATGTATTTTTATATTTCCCAGGTTTAAAAATTTTAAAAATAAAAAAGTTATTTTCATAAAGTAGGTAATGATGATGGTAATAATGATATGATATGATGTATATAGGGGCCAAAATTTTTATAACATGTTTTACTTTTCATTTATGAACTAAAAATGTGTTTTCCAGCCTAGATCTGCCCAAAGAGGGGAAAAAAAAAGGGGCCAAAAAGAGTGAATTTTACAACGATGTCTCTGAAGAGCTGATAATCAATATCCTTTCTGCAAGTAATAAATCATCAGGGGTCGTAACCTACAGATCATAAAAGACTTCGAATATTAGTTCATAAATGAAAAGTAAAACATGGTCATGTTCAAGACAATGAGAAAAAAATGAATCTGAGTCTAAATTGCATGTATGAATCCATAAGCTAACAGTTCTGTGTTCAATTATTAAATAGTCCACCTTTCCCCTCAAGATCATAGAGCAAATTTCACTTCCTTGACATTGGTGTAAGATCCTTCAGTTATGTATACGGGATGTTTTAGGTGCTCCACAATAGATACATCATCAGTGACTTCAAGACCTTCCCTGCAGATACACTTGAATATCAATCTTTTTTATTACAAATAAATAATTAGAAATTTGATAAACTTTAGAACAAGTATCGTAATTGGATGGCAAATCTCAGCTCATTGCTTGGGTGCACTAGGAAGGTCTTAACAATATCTTTACAGTAAAAGCAATATTTACAATAATATACACTTACGATTCACATATTCTTACTGTTAATGTTTTTCATTACAATATATAATGCCTAGAAAGACCTGGAGGACATTTCATGTCCAAGTTTGACATTAAATTTTTAGGTTCCTGTAGGCTGCCTAGAAAAACATGGAAAACATATTCATCCCAATCACACGTAATAAAAATTCAATATCAAGCTTGGGCATGCACATTCAGTTTCACCAGTCATGATTTATTTTCATTTTATAGTGTTAGGTTTGATTTGTTTGGAATTGTAGAGTATAGTCTGTTAAATATATTTTTATAACTACATTTTAATCTTAATATTATTTACACCGTGCCTAAAGGCACGGGTATACGCTAGTATATATATATAACAACACACCGTCAAATTTGTTCTTCAATCTACTGCCAAATCCATTGAAATCACCACTTCTTACTTTATTTTTCCTAAAAAACAAACAGAAACCAACTATGGTTCTGATGAGAGAGATCAAAGATGATCGTGGTGGATTTGGTCAGAGACGATCATGGTGGAAACAAACAACAACAAACATGTGCTTCACCAGCTCACCATTAGCGACTGAGCCGCTGACCTACTATCGTCAATCATCAGATCTTTGGTGGTGTCTACGGTGGAAGGAGAAGGAGGAGGAAGGTTTCTGCAATGGCGAGTGGATCTGTAGATTTGTAAACTCTTTCTCCGAGCCTTTTTTGAATCGCCTCCGCTGATGGCCTTCGACCTTCGAGAAGGCGACCTCTTCGTCATTGTAGCATTCTTCACTGTCGCCGCTCGAGTTCTCTTGAAAATCGTCGTCTCCGTTGAGATCCACGTACCGCCGTTGGGTTCAGTTCTCTACTCTCTCTCCGTCACGCCGTCGTCGAACGTAGAAAATTTCTTTTCATATTCTTTTCCTCTCTTTTCTCTCTCTTACTCTCTCTTTCTTCTCACTGTCTTCTCAGATCTGGATCGCCTTTGAGCTCTAGATCGCTGATCACGCCATCTTACCAGTTAAGAACTCTCTCTGTGGCAGATCTGGGCGGTGGTAAGGGAGTAGAGAGGCGCTACGGAAAGAGAGAGAGAGAGGGGCACAAAGTTTGAGAGTGACTAAGGTTTTGATCTCGAAACAATATATATATATATAGAGGGTAGTTTGGTCATTACGCAAAAACATGTCCTTATAGACAAAGTAATTCTAAGCGTAGATCTTTGAGCAATAAAAATTCAAAATTGAACTTTTGGCCTACGCACCCAAAAATAAATTACCAAAACATAGCTAGAAATACATTTCCTTCACTTCCTTCTCATTCCCTATCTCTTCCCTTATTCTTTTTTTTGTTTTTTCGCTCCCATCTTCTCTACCATCGGTGACCATTTCCCTATGCTTCTTAGCCAGCAACCTCCCCACCACTAGCCTTCATCATCACCACTATCACTTTCTTCCAACTTCTTATTCCTTGTTCATCTCCTACCGCTACATTTAGAGATCGCGATGAGAGAGAGAGAGAATGAAGGGATGGATGGTGTAGTGTTCTAGGGAGGGGTTGCAAAAATTGTAGTAGTGTGGACAAAAATGGGGTTGAGCGGAGGAGGTTGAGACAGAGTTGAGGAAATGTCGCCAATTAGCAGTTAAAGAAGATAATGGAGAGCGAAGGAGGGGAAACGGCAGGAAAAATGTGGGCAGGCCACTAGTGTTAGAGAAGGTTAGGAAGAAGATGGAGGAAAATGATTAAGAAAGGGTATATTCTTTTATCAAGCTTCAAAAATTAAGTTTTAGCTTTCGTCTATATTGTAATTATTTCTTTTATAATTATTCATTGAAATTTCTATTGTTATGCAATTATTGGTAGAAGTTCTTTTATATCTCAATTTAGGAGAAATTGACTGTGGTACTAAGAAAAAATAATTATAATATCATAAATATTACTAATTAAAATTATAAATTTTATTGTGAATATGTAATAATCTTTCAAAATCACCCATGAATGGTTAATTCCCCCCTTAATTTATAGTGTAGCTAGATAAGATGTGGAAGCCACATTCATATTAATTGATAAAAAATTTAATAATTAAATAAAAATTGGTACAAAAAATTCAAATAAATAATTAGAATGACTGATAAGAGATGTGATGGAGTTAAAATGAAATTAAAATTGGCATCAGATTACAAAAGAAAATGAATTGATATTGAAGAGATTTTGGTCTTGTAAATAAGTTATACCATTTGTTTATTATAATTACATAATAAAATGACATAATTTTATATTTTTTGAATAATTAAAATAAAAATATAAAAAAAATCATAATCAAACATAAAAAAATTATAATCAAATGCCCTCGGTTGGCATCTTAGTTGGGGAATTATTAATCTAAAATAGTTACAAAAAGATAAAATAGACTAAAAAATTAATAAGACAAAAGTAAAAAAAAAAGTCAAAAAGTCTCACCCAAACAAGACTTTTTAGTTATAAGTATAGCTAAAAAGTCAATCCACTTCTCAAACGAAGCCAATATCTTAAAATAATATTATAACTAAAAAAAATTAATTATAACTAAAAAAATTGGCGTAAAGGTACATAAAGCATGTAGTGTACATAATACAATTTGAGAAATTATTCAATATTTACTATGTATCTGTACTCCTTATCAATCATTATTCAATATTCTTCTTATATTCTGCAATCACTCAACATAATACTCCACTTACTCTCATTCTCTACCAATCACAATATTATAAAATACCACGTGTTTATATTCCGAAATTACTGAATAATTATCCATAGAATTTTTCTATAAACAGATATCCAAGTTTGAATCAGAACTAACTTAGGTGAGGATTTTTTTTTAAATTTTTTTTAGGGGGAGGATTTTAGTTATTATCAGTAAAAATCTTGTTTTATTTATTTATTTTACTACTAGTTTTATTATTTGTAATTTTTCCCCAAAAAAATCTCTCATCTGCTTGATAAGTTGCTGCGACCTTATCGACAATTCCACTCTAAGTTGAACCTTCTAAGACACTTTCTCTCCCTCACGTCTCTCTCTCTCTCTCTCTCCAATAAAGTAAAGGAACAAGAAGGAACGAAAAGAAGAAGTTGAATTCTGAATTTAGAAAGTTAGAAGAAATTGTGTGAGGGCGTGATCTATCCTCAGCTGCTCTCTGTTGTAGTAGGTGTTGTTGTCGTTAGCTTTTCTTAAATTCTTACTCTGAAAGGAATTCACCAGTTCGATTCGATGTTCATCTTTCTGTACTAGGGTTGGTTTTAATTTGATTTGATTTTATTTCAATTGAATTTGACTATTGAGCACTACTACCTTTGACCGTCTCTCATCTCAAATGCAAGAGACGACAAGGTATATATATGTATGTTGTCTTATTTTCAATTCTTGGAACTCCTGTTTATTATGTTAATGGCCATCATATCTAAGTACCGGTCTTTATGACCGCCTGTTCGGTCTGCTAGACCGTCTGTATCAGCTTTCTATGGGATGTACCACGTATACTTTTATGCTTTCTGTAGAAGATAAGAATCTGTTCAATTTGTGATTTGCCTTACATTATGATCATCATTCGGAACACCTTTACACAACTGTTATTCACTAGGCTCTAACTCACGTTTTGATATATATATTGTAAGTGATCCAGTTCAGGAGAGGACATAGTGACGACGATTTTGCCTCAGTTTTGTTAAGTACCCTTTTGTGCCTCACGTCGAGGTTCCCATCTGTTGGAGCGCTGGGTGACCCAGTGATCACCTTTTTAGAACTCACTCACGTGTTATAGTTGGTTGTCACTGGCATTATATTTGTTGTTGATGGGAATGACTTTCCTCTTTTGGTTGTATTTTGTCAAGCTTGTGATACCTTGATGTACATATGTATATATGTATATATAGCAATGCCTTTTGTCTCATGTAAGTTCATAGCTCGTTGGACGTTTTCCTTTCTTATGTATTAGCTTCCGCTAGCCTCATTCGTTTGTTTGTTCAGTTAGGCCTCTGGTAATCACATATTACTGGCCAGTTATGACACAAAACCTATTGGGGCGGGTTTGGGTCGTGACAGCAACAAAACATATGTCATGAGTTTTGCAACATAGTAAGAAAACATAACAAACTTACCATTCTTTTTAAGAGAAAATAATCAGATTAATAATCGTGGCAATTAAGAGAAAATAACGAAATTATTAGGATAACAATATAATAACCATTAAAACAATTTTAATAATTTTAATAGTTTGGGTGACACTCAAAATCTCACTAAAGAGATTTTCTAACCAACCACTAAGTCATGTCCACGGTTAATTTGAAAACCCTCAGTTGGTCAAATATTCAAGTGTTACCAACTATAATTACCAATGATGCCTATACCCAGAGTTATATACCCAAGCCGTGACATCCATGGTCTGTCCCAAGGGAGTCTGTCAGGGGTACGTAACCTCCCTGCTTGCCACTCGCATATCCACCCTTATCTCAACACCAAATACCAATAAGGGTTCAAATAAGTCACGTGCCATCCTAGGGTTTCACAACACAATTATGTAAAAATTATCAAAAACTAGGGCTCACCCTGAATTACCGGTGTTAACCTTTAATCATTAATTTTGTACATGTCGTTAATCATTTTAGTTAGTTTTTATATTAATCACAAATAATTACAAATTTCAATCACCACAAGTGTTATACCATTTCATTAAAATTCCCAACATAAAATATTACTCATATGTTATAAAATAATCAAACAATATACAAAATTATAATAAACAGTTAAATTAAACCATGGCATGAATGATAATTTTAGATACTTAAAAGTGAACCACAACCACAACCACACACATGCATGGAATACTAATTTACATGATTTAATTAATTAGACCAGCACAATATTTATTTTTAGTGCTAATAGATAATTGAAGTAATAATCTTGGTTCCTTCTCAATTTGCCCAGAAAATTTTAGAACATATTTTTCGTAATTAAAATTATAAATAAACTATTTATACAATTCTAAAATTCATGGAAATACATGGAATATTCAAAAAACATGTTATGGTAATTTTTCAGGAAGAAATTCCCAAAAATAAGTTATAAATAATTCTATAAAATTTCAAAAAATTCCATGACACATATTCATCACATTTTCTTGAAATAATTCCACACTTAAAATTTATAAATCAAGTCCGTAATATAAAATTTGTTATGATACTAGACTTCTCAAATTTCATTTTTTAATTTAGAAATTATCAGATTTGGTTTAATATAGGATTTTTAATGATTTTTCAAACATGTAGTAAAATCTGTCTACAGCTTCAGATTTAATTAAAATTTTGTATAAATTCACACAAAACTAGAATAATTGTTACAAAAATTCCTGGATGAACTAGACATCATTCTTAACAACTTTGTAGAAGAAATCATCTCAACATTTTGAGCATAAAATTGTCTAAAAATTCATATAAGTTTCTGATAAATTTAAGAGTCATATAACCAAATCAAATAAAATCTTTAATCATCTATTTAATGGCACAAACTATACATGCAAACTTAATTTTAAAATTACATCATGATTTTAAGGCTACTAATATAAAAATATCCTTCAAATATTTGATATACAAATCACAAATTTACATACAATTATAAATAAAATTCTATCTACAATTTTAGTCATTTTATCATATGAATACAATCTCAAAGTTTCAACAATTAAAAAGAATGAGAGGGTTGAGAGGATTTTTTTACTGGGTAGGATTAAAATGGGATAATGAAATAGTAGGAAAAATTATAAGCTTCCTTGTTCTTCTACTCTTCTTCTTCTTATTTTGACTCAACTTTGCTCACAATTTTTTTTTTTTTTTATTTATTAGATTCTTCTCCAATCAGTTGAGAAGAGAATTGCAAGCCATATATATATAGGAAAATGCCTCGTAGCTCGACTTTTAAAGGCTCGAAACGGCTCGAAATGGAGAAAGAGGGAGAGAAGAAAGGAAACAGAGGAGACAAAAATAAATAAATAAATAAATCATGTAAAATTCGGTGGCAGTATGAGGTGATTAATCACCCAACACTTGTAAGCATGCATGCAATAGTAGA